TAATCACAATACATGTACTGAAAGCAACAAATCAAGTTTTTTTACTCTTCCTTAAGCTTACACATCCCTAATAGCTCTTGAAACATAAGGCTGAAAGTGATAGGGAAGACCAATTGTAAAAGCATATTTCTTTCAAGGAAAAGTACTTTCTGAATATGATGTAAATGTGTTAAGGTTTAAAAATGGTATTTTACAACACTCCTACTCTGTTTTAAATTGCAAGATTGGTATTTTCTTGCTGAGGGGCACAAAGCTTACCAAGCAGGTAATCTTGGCTTAATACCTTTGGAAAGTAAATCAAATGTAAATGATGTAAGCTTCTACAATGACCACCACTCTACAGACTTCGAGAGTGCAAACCATTAAAAATGAAACAATAAACCATCTTGAGAAACCATACTATTAATTTTCTATTTATTTACAATACTTTGCAAGTAAGTGATACCTTTATAGCATTACAAAGGGCCATGCAAGGGATCCCCAAGCTTCCCAACACTTGGTGCACACATCTTCCATGGCCCCGGGGCAGAGTTGACCAGCATTGCCTTACTGAAGGCTTGAGGTTTCTGACTTCAAGAGTGTAGATCCTCCATGCTCTTTGTCACAAAAGGAGCAAGTGCCAAACCTCAGCTGGGTCAGGCCCATTGATTTCACAAAAAGAGTTCAATAAAGTTTGCACAGACACTTCTGGGATCTTTGCATTTCATTTATGTTTTAGTGTTCCAAGTTAAATGGCAGACTTTTTGCACAATAAAATTACTAAAAGTTAGAAAGTTTATTTACTATTTTGTCTCATCCAAAGCAATAAAGCCTCTATCAGTAATCACTGTGTGCTAACAATGGGAAAATGAGTCATTAACTACAGTCTAAAGAAATAAAGGCCAAGTAAGACTTCACAGAAAAGCACACCTACTGCCACAGCCTTGGGAACCTTACAAAAAAACCATGTAAGCTGATCTAGTCTGCTCACACACATTTTTACTGCAGCACTTTCTTATTCAAAGAAAGTTATTCAGGAGGAGCTCCTGTCAGTTTCCAGGTGCTCAGCTGCGACTTTGTGGACACTCCTGTGCACTTCTCTGGAATCAGCCTGTTTTGGGTGCCCAGCAAGAAGGGTCTGAGGTGACTAAAACGAGACGGCTCAGTGACTGCCCAAAGAGAGACCAATCAATTGCCAAACCCATAAGATTTATCCAATGAAATAAGCAAGAAAACTTCAGTAAATTATTCGTCTACTTGGATAATACAGTCAAGTAAACAAAAAAAGCTGTATGAAGAATTCTAAATGAATAATGTGAAAAAGCAAAACAGCTGCAGAAGTCCTAGCATAATTTCAAAGTGCTTGTCATGTCAGAACTTTCTTTTGAATACAGAGTTATCTGTCCTTGACAAGCAATTCAGACACCTTAAACATCGCCATTACATACATATTAGAAATCTTTTTCAAAGAGACAAAGAAAAAAGCCCCCTAAATCATGTTTTCCTCAGTTTTTGGGTTTTTTTCTTTCAAGCAGTAGGAGACGAAGAATCACAGCTACTGCTTCACTGAGGACCTTAGCATCCTGTGTGGCATGCCCATGTCAATTAAGAAATTCCACAGCTGAGACTCTCCAGAGTTTGCCATTGGTATGCCAAACCATTTGCAACAAGGTACATGTCCACACTAAATAATGCAGGACTGTGCTGTGACATTTTAAGCAAAACTGAATTTTTTGTTTCCAGAACTGGGACTTACATAATTGAACCACAGTGCTCCACAGCATCAAAAGGTCAAAGCCAAACTGGGGTGGAAAGTTAGGCATGAAGAAGAAAACTGTTCCTCCTAATCCTTATCTTATTTGTACAGGTAAAAAAAACAAAAAAAAAACCCCAAACAACAACAACAACAACAACAAAAAACCAAAACCATCTCTGCACCATCAACCTCTAACCTACTGACTTTGCCAAAAGACATATACTTTCTGGGGAAAGTGCTCAAAAGCCAAAGTAAAGACAGAATCTAAAATACATTAACCAATACTCATTTATATCAGTGATTCCTTCCATCTGCTCTTCTATACATTGCATTGCAACCACAGTGATTTATTTTCTACTGCTGTAAGGCACAGTAGCTCTAACAAACTTCATTCTAAATTTCAGTTTTGCTTGAGCAATCCAGTTTGCAATGAAATATTTATGAGTATCCCATGGTTATTTGCCCTCAAAATCTCTTTTGAATGCAGCAATACTACTCAAGGCAGCTATTTACATACACAGGACATTCACAAACAACACCAAGGTAATGGCAGTATCACGACTACATTACATGTTGTGAAGATACAGAAGCGGCTTAGAAACAGACAAAACAAGGAATTAGAAGTAGAAATTTTCCTTCCAAACCACCAACTATCACAGATCACACCAATCTGATTGATGACTTGTACCTACCTGGAGGCTTACAGGTCTCAGTGAACTAATATGAAAATCATTACTGTCCAAAAACATATTCCTGTTAATAATGACAAACATAAGGACCAAAGGAAGTGCTTTAAATTGCTGCAGCCTTTTTGCTCCCTGACTGCGAGCCAGAAACCCAACTTTGTCTCTCAGTGGTCCAAATGAAAACCAGGATAGTACTTCTTTTCCAGGTATTGTTAGTATACTGCAACTACAGTATATATTAAAGGACAGACAATTCTTGCACCATAATAATAGGAAAGTATAAGCTTAGAACAGAGTAGCTCCAGAAGGAGTTACAGGGGATGCTTCCAATTGACCTCCATACCACTCATACTGAAGATGCTAGAAAGATGCAAGAAAGAACACTTAGCGCAGCTCAGCTTTAACTTGCCAGAAGTGGAACCCCTCTTCCACTGCGTTTTTTCCTTCACAAAAGAAGCTTAAAATTCAGCTGAATGATAATAAAAGTAGTATACTCATAAAGGTATCTGGTATAAACTAGATAGCATTAATTCGATCTCAAACAGAAACTACAGAAAGTCTATGAAAAGCTGGAGGAGATGGCCTCTATATCCTCCAATTATTCCCCTAACTACTGACAATAAATATAGAATAAATAAGACTTCATCCACTGATATTTAAAATAAATAAATAAATAAATAAATAATAATAAATAAATAAAATAAAGAGGAAAGGTAGGAATCAATCCGATCATAGAGCTCAGCCTTCACAGGCACTGACAGATTTGTAGAAGTATTCTGATCTACACGAAAGTCCAGCAGAGCCTTAGTCACAGATTCAGAATTGTTGGATTCAGACTATCTTTATAAAAAGAAAATATTGATGCTGCCATCAGGAACTGAAATGTGACAGAAATGACAGCACTTAATAAAGTCACCATGGATAGAAAATAATGCATAAAAATACAATTCCCAACATGCCATGAGACTGAACCCCACAGAACAAACATGAGTATGTTCAGAAAGCAGTTTACAATGATCTAAGATAAGACAGACAACTCCTGAGAGCATCCAGAACCATCCACACAATCTTGAGAAACGCTCATTTCATGACACAGGGAAAATGAATCTTGACTTTCACAAACTCTTAAAAATAAGCAAACAATAAGTAAAAATACCCAGAAGACTTTTTCTTCCTCATAATATTAATAAATCTCATATAATACCTTTATATTAATAGGAGTCAGCTAAGATTTCACCTTTTATTCAAATCTCACCTTGAATATAGCTATTTCAATTTCTGTTACATGACATTCCTGTTAATGACTGAGGAAGAACAAGAACTGCTGTTATTTTTCCAGTTTGCCCCAAGAAATGTTTGGGGTTTTAAAATTATTTTAGCTCCCAAAAAAATACGTAAGGCTCTAAAGCGCTGTCAGAAACCATCACTACAGAGTAGGTTCAAAAAACTAATTCCATAACTTGGCTATTTTCCATTATCTTTAACTGATTAATTTGTAAGTTCTTCTTAGAATTAATTTTTCTATCTAAATAGATCACCTTTGAGAAAAAAAATCAAGATGATTAGCCTTTTTCTGTTTTGCAGTGGTCTGTGGTTATTAGTTATCTTATGCTCCCTCTACTGACTCTACAAGAAATCACCCCAAAACCCTTTAAGATGCTTCTCTGAAAGAACATGTTAGGATTCGATATAATACTTCTAGGAATTAAAAAAGGCACAAGCACATTTCTGTGGGGTGAAATCCTTGTGAAAGTCAGAGTAGAGGTTCTGTCTTTTTCTATCTGAGACAGAAACCTTAGAAAATAAATCCTTCTTGTAGCATCCATGGTATTAGCTACTATATAAGCCATTTATGATATTGTTAGGAAATTATTCATAATGTTTCAAGGATAATGTATTCAGGTGGAAAAAGAGAACTTCAAATTTCCATTTTTGCATAGTTCTTAGCAATATTTATTTACAAACTGCTGCTCAGCTGAATCCACAAAATCTATCTAAAGTCTTCTTTACTCCTCCTCCTGTGAAGGACAGTTATCTACTACCAGTGTGACATGAGCACCATATTTACTTTTCACATTTTGAAAATAAGTCATGAAGCAACCAAGCAGATATAATGTAAAAAACATACCAGGGAAAGTTCCCTAAAATTGAGAAATGACTTAATGAAGGACTTAGCACATTACCTCTCTTATCCTATAAGATGAATGATCGTCAGGATGCCTTACTGCTTTTCTCTTTTACTGAAGAAAAATGAATCATCTATTGTGCTGTTTTGGGGTTTTTTTTAAATAAAACATCTCTTAATAAGGATAATACTGAATGTCTTTCTTTATTACCTGAACCATGACAGAAGATTTAAATAGAGAATTTCATTGTTACAAATAGCAAAAGCTATTAAACTAGTATCAAGTGATTTCATACAATAATGATCTCTACATCACGAAACTAAGCCTTTGTCAATACAGACAATGAATGTGAAAAGAGAAAAAAAAGATCAGAAAGCCATGATGAAATATAATTCCTAAATTTCGTACACAGACCTTTACTCTGCTGAGCATTAACAAAATCCAGGTGCTTACCAGATCAATCAGACTCTCCTGGATTCTGTTCAGTGTGGTGCGTAGCCTGCTGCTACTGAGGCCCAGTCCTGTTGATTCAAACTGGAAGAAATACATTCTATTTAAGTTGGGAAAGGAAATCTCATTGGTTTAAATTTTGCAGTGATAAAGCAAAACTCAAGTTTGCAAAGACTGTCTACAATTTACTTACGCTAAAGTTTTAACACATAATCACAACCATACAAAATGAAAAGAAAATCAACAGAGGTCACAGCACTCAACACTGCAATGGTGTGAAGAATGACCCAAGTACTTATCATGAAGATGACAACTTACCATTCATACCAATAAAATAACCAGTATCTTTTATTGTTATAATACTGTATGTGGCTGCAGGGCCCTAGATTTTCTCATGTGGGCAATGAGCCCAGAATGGTGCACCACAATGCCCTCTCCAAGACTTGCATGCGTACCACACCCAAGCCAAATGGTCTTCACTAGCCATAAAATCTCTTGTAATTATTAAATATGTATCTTGCAAATGTAATTATAACCAGTGATCTTTATAAAACAGTCATTGTTACTCAATGCTTATAAAGATCTACCTGAGAAATGTGCCATCTTCATGTTCATGGCTCAGGAGTATATGGGGCAGATGCTCAGCTGGGATAAATCAATACAGCTACACTAATTTCTTGCTAAGCACAATGAATTATACCAGCTGAGGGTCTGATTTCACATGCATAATTATCGCAACTATTTTTCTTCTACTTTCAATTAACAAAAAAACCCAACCCAACAAACCAACACAATAAGGAAAGTGGAATGTGGAAACACACATTTCAGTCAACAGTCTGGGAGGAAACACACATTTAAGTCAACAGTCTGGGAGGATTTGAATACAGTTCTGGTATGTGATTCACACCAAAAGGCAATTTATTGAACAATATTTAGAGAACTGTTGTACACAGTATTATTAGACTTCCTTTCAGTGGGTTGAATCAGGGAAAGAAATGCATGAGTTCATGTCATCTCCTCTGCTCCTTTTAAATACAAAACAGTATAATTTTGGTCCCCATTTACTGCATATAAAGTCCATCCGTCCCAATCCTCCTCTGTATTAAAAGAAAATTTACATCTGAGCCAAACTCTCACTGGAAGTATACTCTGATGAGATTTAGAACCTGATCTAGGAGACATAATCACTATCCTGTGTCCACATTTGATAAACTGATAAATAGAAATGTTCATGCCTTCGTTTTTCTGCAAGTCATGTGAGACATTTTGCACAAAAAATTTGCATTTTTCTTCAAATTTTTATTGTAGAATCATCAGTTCTGAACTGCTGTGATTTTGCAGGTACATGGGTGAAAAAGAAAATAACATTTTTCCCTTTAAGAAACATGCCCTTAATTCTCAAAATTATTGTTTTTTTTTTTTCATTTTTAACTTCATGTAGCACATTTTCAAGATATGGACACAAGGACTGCAAATTCAAGAGTGACTATTCTCTCTGTTAAAGTAAGAACAAGCCAAAAAAGAAACTCCCTGCTTAACAGGAAAAAAATATGTATATTAAAAATATATTTGCAGTTTCAGTCATTAAATTTTATTTTAAGAATTTGCACCATCAAAACTACTCATCACATGATCTACCACTAATTCTTTTTCCTTCTGCCTTTCAACTGTTAACTTTCAATACTTATCAGTAATTTTCACTTGTTTATCTCATACTGACATATTTCTTTCTAAAAAATGGTAATTTTATAGTTGAAACACATCTGAATCAAAAGGAATGCAAAGCAAAACTTATAATTCCATAAAATATTACATATCAAGAACTCCAGATATACCAGGCAACCTGGTAAATTTTGTTTTACAGCCGGAAGTCAGAATTGTGCATTCATATGTATGATGACAGAAAAAACTAAGATGCAAAAATCCCCCAAAATTACTGTTCCTCAGAATTTTTCACAATGACACAACCTTACAGCTTCACACAGAATGCATCACTCATCAGTACATATGCTTCGCTTCACAGAAGATTTTGCTATATCTATATGCAAAAGGATAGCTATTTAAATTCCACAAACTGATGACCTAGTAAAGCTAGTAAGCAGAGCATTAGACAATTTACAGAATAATTTTCCTCATCATCAGTTCTGCATAACCCTTCATAGTTATAAAAAAAAAAGATAAGTTTACAAATTATTGTAATGTCCTGTCAAGAAAATTAAAGCTCTGCTCAATTTTTTTCTGCTAAGGAAAACTATTTTGTGGCATGTTCAGAAATATCTTACACTTCAGTGAGTAGATATTAAATACAGGCAATTCCTTGTAATTTTATGTTGAGTTGCTCCATAATTTAAGAAAAGGCAGCCTTCACTTGCATCCCACAAATAAAAAACATTTTGAAAGAGCAATTCTGGTTACACTGGTGTTAAATTTTTGGCAGTGAAGAAAGCCAAATACTAGCTACATAGGATAATAACTCTAAAGAGGTGTAGAACGAGCAATGGCTTAGCACCATGACTGGACATAGAAGCCACTATGTCTATTTTAAATCCATTTTCAGTGAACTGGCAATGAACTGTACAATTAATCACTCTCCTTATGTGTGTACTAACTCACATATACAACATAGGCACAATATTCACAAATAATTTCAACCATTTAAGGAAGTTATACCAGCATACTCTAAGAATCCCATTTGATGTTGTAAATTAAAATAAAACAGGAGCATTCTCAGTGGTCTAAATCACATACCATCACCCATCTCTACTGTCTAAAGGTTTATAAACAGTGTGGGGAGTGAGGACATTTAGGCAGCATTACAAGAGGGTTTATTACAATCATAAACCCTTGTAAGCATTGCATTTCCCAAGGAAAATCATCTGCCAAAACAAATATTAGGCACACTAGAAAAACATCACAATTTTACCACCCATCTGCTATAATGTTTACCTGCCTAGCACTGTGCTGTTCTCTGATAGAAGCAGAGAGTGAGGAAGTCGGTATGGGCTTTAAAAACACAAAACAGGAGGTGCAAAAAAATAAAAATGAATGCAACACAATGAGAATACCAGAGCAACTGACTAAGCCAATGGAAATCAATTATCTTAAAAAAAAAAAAAAGCAACCAAACAAAAAAAACACCCCTAAACACCCATCCTGCAAACACAAATTGTAAATACATTTGCCCTGCCAAAGAGAACAGCTCAGAAACATTTAGAACCCTATGCTGAGTCTGAAAATCCATTATAATTTGCCAACAGATGATGATAAATTTGGAACCCCATGATATTATTACTTGTGGAGTAATTTAGAGGCCAAGAGAGGAGAATGTTTTAAGATGTTTCCTATAAAGACAATTTGCTTTAAGACAATTCTGTTGAAAATTGATATATGTTACATAAAGACATTGCCAACAAGCATTTATTTCAAGTACAAGATCACTCAAACCCTCCTTGTTTTCATTAACGCAAATAGTTTGACAGAACACTAGATCTGAAAAAGTATATTTCAAACCTCTTAAACTTGAGTTACTACTTAATTTTCATGGACCCTTCTCCTTTCCTTTTGCTTATTATTATCTAAGTTAAGGAAATACACAAAAATTAAATCACCTCATACTCTATGGACCCTAAACCACCACTGTCCTTCTGCAGACTGCTCCTTCATTACCCACCTCCTGCCACTACTTTTAGGTATTTTGTGTTCTCTTTCCTCCATTTCAATACTGCTAGAAAAAATAATAGAGAATCTATTCAAAATATAATAGGATTCATGTCCCAGTGATAATACTCCTAGTCCCCATTTCCCTTATTAGGCAGTATTTGAATCAAAGAGATCTCCTCAGCATTTTCATTCTGCGTGTACAGTGATACTTGAAAAATGTTTCCACCTACCGTGTCATTTCGGCCAAAAAACGTATAGACAGCATACAGATAGTAATCGAAGAGCTGGGACATGAAGTGGATCACATCAAACGCAATTGGTTTCAGAATATTCATCATTTGCATGTATTTCCCTTAAAAAGTAGATACATAAGATCAGTTTCCTCAGCCTAAGTGCTACAGTGTTGAGCTTGACAAACTCAAAACCAGTTTTACAAAGTGCATCATTTAGCCTTGAATATTGATTAAGGACAACTTAGTGATAGTTTAGAGACTGTGAGGTTTAAAAACAAAGCTAAAAATGATAGCTAAGACACAATAAATACCTCAAGACTTCTCAGAACATGGATGTTAATCCATATCAAAATGTCTTCAACCATTTTTGGCCTTCTGGTGCCAAATTCAAAATATACAACTTTCTAGCTTCAGCTTCATTCAGCCAAAAAATAATAATCTCCTAAAGTAGTCCCTGGCAAATGCTATATAGAGCCAACGAGGATTTTATGCATTAGTGTGTGTTTATATATGCACATATTAATATTTTTTAAGCAACAGAAAAGCACAGTGTAAAAATTACATGCCCAAGATTGGGTTTCACCCAGCAACTCTAGGAACAATGCATTTCACACCAGTGATACAATTCTGGCTCTCCTTCCTTTTAGTTCTGCGGCAAGAATCCCAAATAGTTTTAAGATGTATATTTGAAATGTTTCTAGAGGGACTGACTGTGAGTAAAGGGTGATGCTGGGACCCTGGCATATCCAGGGAGAAGAATAATTTCTTCTTTTCTTTCCTATTCTTTAGTGTAACACATTTGATTTGGGAAATTAAAAAAAGATAATAAATAATAGAAATAATAGAAATCTATGTTACCCAAATCAAACTGATCATAGGATTTGGACTCGGAAAGAAATTTTT